CTGGAAAATTTGAACTTGTCTTACCGGTTTCATATTTTGTACCAATATACATGTTGCTACTTATACATCTTTGTAAATTCATTATATTTTAGCAATTTTTAAAGTAAGGATGTAATTTCTCCTTTTGCAGTTGTTCTTGACCTTGTATTAAATCTTCCCTTAATGTCCGCACAACAGTCTCATTCAATAACTATTGTAGCATACCTACGGACGATAATGGGTATGAACCCATTCCTATAAATTCAGTAGTGAATACTGTACGTGGTCTAGTGTTGGCGATTCGTCTCCAGCTGTGCTGGTCAAACTCTCTGCCTCCGGGCAGAAAGGATCCCCAGACGAGGCTATTTCGAAGCGCAGAGTCTTGTCTCGGGAAATAGCTACCTCACCCTGTTTTATACGGCGTCTACGGGGAATTTTTGGCCGAGCCTACGGACTCGGATACCCTGCTTTAAATTCGGCCTTGTGCCACATCTGACCTCGTGGACGGTTGGTAGATATCATTGTTTCATTGTGGAATTCACTTGAATCACTTCTAGCAGTTGACTACTTCTACGCGCCGTTGGCGAATCTTATATGTGTTGTTCTTGTCCTAAGTATTATCGTTCATTACCAACTTCCGTTTGATTATTTGATTCAGTAACCTTCCGTAGGTTACAACAATAACCCTCTATCTTGAGTGCCTCTTGGGCCTTGTATTGAATGAACAATAGTATAAAAACCAAATAATTCGGTGAACAATATTCCTTGATTCCACCAGTCCAAACATTTACAGCAAGGACTCGCCATGCCATATACACTGTCGACTCATTCTCAGTCTGCTCATATTCCATTTGTAAGGCAGAAGTTCTATCCAGACAGTTTCTTCCCCGGAACCGTTACTCTCAAGAAGATACTTTCTCGATCACTACAATCTTAACCTTATTTAGTAAACCTCTACCTTGAATCGCTCTAGAGCCTTTTATTGGGTGATATTTAGTAAAGAAATCCTCATAATACGCGTCTCTTGCTCCCTCCCTGTACACCCTTACAACTTCATTTAGTAAGTCTCTAACTTGAATGGCTCTTGGGCCTTGTAATAGGTGAATAATAGTAAAAAAAAAGAATTAAAATTCAATAAATCATAGATTCAAAAATATTATACTTTATAAAAGCTAAACTGATTGCCCCCCGACCACACACACACCGAAATGGCCATGTCTGTGTATCCTGTGGTTTGGTAATGTGAGTGCTAGGTTTGATAGATGAAACTTTTATCTGTTAACCAATCCACGCATTTTCCTTACTGTCCAACCAATGTTAAGCTTGATCCGAAAAGACGTTCTACATCCGCACCATATCAGTAACTTATCATTTTGAATGTCCGTTTGACGCTTGTTACATAGGTAGAATGGGTCAGAGTTTGGAAAGTAAGCTTGATCAACACATACCACCCAATATTTGGAAGAGCCATCTGGACAATTTGTATAAAAGCATCAATAAAACTGGTTCAGTGACAGTTGAACGTTTATTGAACAACTTTCAATATACCTGATCCAATAATCAAGACATGCTTCTGGTACTGAGGAAACTCACTTTGATTTTCACTTTAAGGTTTTCGAATCAATTTATACGAAGTCCTGCCAGCTATCTCTCTTTAATGGAGCAGTTGTTAAGCTTAAGTATAATTAGCCTTTGATATTTAAATATTTACTAGCAGCATGGCCTGGCGTTGCCCGTGCTTGATTCAAAAATCGTACGACTCATACAGCAATCGCTATCACTTGACTTAAAATATTTTTGCCCTTCCTTGCCTTTAAAGGAGTGCCCTTTGCCGTGATGATGTTGCTACATGCCTTACTTCTTGCTTATCTCACACTGCGAATTTTTTTCTAAGCTCTATACTAAACATTAAATTTGTTACGAAAAAAGAACTAAACAAAATGAACACAAAACGATCAGCTTTAAAAAGGACTCGTCACTGGAAAAACTGAATGAAAAAAGAATGTTAACAACAAATACTTTTTCACACTCAACCGAGTTCTGTGGAATCAGAAGCAACGTTGAGTTTAAGCAAGCGAATGAGCCAATTGGAGCAAAGTGCCATGCAGATTTTAATTTTTCCCACTTGTGATGAATGCAGCTATCGATTTTTTTTTGCCTGCTAGCATGCTAGTTAACATTCGTGTCAGTCAGCTGTTGGCTCTCACGCTGGCCAATAGAATCTTCCTGCTTATTCGTGGCAGCCAGCTATTGGCTCTCACTCTGGCCAGTAGAAAATGGCCGCAAACTACATGAAAACTGCTGTAGAAGCATGAAAAAATCGATTATTTCCACTATCGATGGGAGTTGGGAAATGCAAAGTAGGTCTTGGCCTTCCCGCTAACTTGGACACACATCTTGCCTTTTATAGATAGAGATTATGTAACATCCAGTGTTTTACATTTTAGCCGCTAGGCACATTTTTCATCCGTAATTCATTATTTTTGAGATTGATAAACCAGTTAAGTTACATTTTTTTATTTTTATTTTTCCTCTTGAGTTTTTGTATTTCTGCATTAACACTTTCAGATATGGATGTGGCCAAGTGGTTAGAATGTTGGTTTTCTGTGACTGAGACCCAGGTTTGAATCTCACTATGGTTGATTTGCCAGGAATATGACTTGATAATATTGGCCTGGGGTAGGGATGATCTCAATGGGCGGAACCTTTTGAAAAGTACCTTTTTTCAATACCACAGCTCTCTGAGTGAAACTGGGGAGATAGAACATTTCTATCAATGGTTGCACTAGTGTAAAGTCATAAATCATTGTAACCGAGTGTTACTGAAATTTAATTTAGGAACCACGAATACAATATTTTACAAGTTTACATTCTAGCCTATTTTTCCAATCCTCACTCCAACCTTTTTTCTTACTTTCAAAACCGGCTCCCAAAGTCTTGATTCTTATCAGAGATAAGAATATATTTTCTGACTAACGAGAGAGCTGGAAAATGCAAAAAAGAATTCCACCATTATTCTTTCCATGGTGCCATAAAGTCTGGAGGAAACCTCACAGCTTATTCACTCCAACCTTTTTCCTTACTTTCAAAACCGGCACCTGACATTCTGACTAATAAAGGGACCAGGAAATTTGTATAACAATTTTGGAGGAAAACGTCCCCGATTCTTCTGAGCCTCCCAAATCTCCATAAATTTGGAGAATCTTCGCCTATTTGGCAGTGAGAATTCGGCCCACCGTCTGTGAGGTCGACGACAGAGAACACCAGCCTACTTCGGAACCAGTTTCAACTAAAAAAGAACTATCTACGAGAACGAACGTCAGCCCCACTATTAAAGATCAGTTGAAAAGCTGCCTCCTTTCACCTATAAGACTATCGTCGTCGACCTACGAACTCACTCAGCTGCAGAATTCCTATATCTACCAACATTTTCCTACTCTACAAGAACTGTGAGCAGAACTGTGAGTGTTTCTAACATTTAACAACCTTCTACTCGCTTAAAGAACTCTTAGATGCTCAGAGAAATATTTTTGAGCAAGCCTTTTTTTCTGTTATAAACATTTTCTCTTCCTTTAAAATTAAAGGACCTTTACTTTTCCTTTACTTTCTCTCCTAATTGTCTTTTTATCCCTTTACCCTTTTTTTGTACATATAAATAAACATTTTCTTCTTTTATTATTACACGCCGAGCAGGAGTTTTCAGTCTTTCTTTGTTCGTCCGCCTAAAAGAGAGAGTTTGTCCGCTCTAATCTTGCTGTTTTTATTTGATTTTTGTCGCAATTTTTTTAACCTCAACCCTTTCAAATTTTCCGCAGTGTTTGATTGGACTGGTTTTGTTCACGCTTTGATCACACCAAATGATACGCTCTATCCCAATAACTGTAATTAACGTCTGTTGGTCATAGTTGCAATAAAGACCATAAGTTAGTTCTGTGGACATTGAACAAAGACAAATGTGCCTGAGCAGGCGTATGCACAATAGGGACTGGTTAGACACTGTAGCAGTGTTGTAGAGTAGTTTTCACAGTGGAGGCTTGTATTTCACTCAGTCGATCCTAAAAAAGGTTCGACGTACAAAACGTTAGGAACTTGTTATAATAGTTAATGACGCAGCAATCTAGTTGTGGTGGTTGATACTTTAATGTCCGACATCGACTGACTCACCAGCTCACTGAGCCCCCCTGGCGACTGCTACTACTACTTATTATATGTGGGAGTGTCTATTAACAATAGAATAGGTGTGTTTCAGTATAACAAGCAGACAGATATACAGTGGAACCTTGGTTCGCGAATTTAATTGGTTCCTGAAGGCCGTTCGTAACCCGAAATGTTCGTAAACCGAAACTATTTTACAAGTAGGAATCAATGTATAGAAAAAAAGTTACAGTACAATAAAAATAAAGAAAAGTAGCACAAAGCAACAAACGAATGTATACAACATGGCGGTCGACTTAGAAATTATTCCGTTCGGGTTCAGCAATCTTGTTCGATAACCGAAATTTTGTTCGATAACCGAGGTGTTTTCTTCTCGAATTTTCTGTTCGAAAACCGATTTGTTTAACATGAGAGACGTTTGAGAACCGACATTGCTCTGTATTTGGAAATGAGTAGCCAGCCATTGTTACCATTTTATAGTAACGTAAACCTTTTTTTGTTACTTCCGCTTTCTTTGTTACTGTTGTTGTTTTAATATGTCTATTTTAATCGCTATTATTAAATTTTGTACCTCTTTTAAAATATTTGCATATATTTTCATCTTTTTCAGATCCGAGCACGTCCAGAATTTTTATTAAGTCACCATGAGGAATTTACATCGTTCGTTTATGAAATCATTTTTGATGCTAATCTTTGTGATAACTCTTTTACTCTTGATCTTTGTCCTTGGACCAATGAGTGCTCTCTATGGTGCTGGAGACTTAGTGACCCACATGCCAAATGCCAAAAAGATGCAACGTTCTAATGTCACTTTCACCTACAAACCAAAACAGAACTCTACGCATAAGAACATCCAAAAGATAATCATGGAAGCCGTCACTCAGCAAATTGTCGTCAAAGAGTCAGGTGCCAGGATGTGGGGCGGCCGATTTGATGGAAAGATAAGTCAGCTCATGGAAAAGTTTGGCGATTCGATTGCTTTCGATCAGAGACTTTACAGTGAAGACCTTGAGGGTAGTGGGGCCTATGCCAAAAGCATCACCCGCATTGGTCTTTTGACCCGGAAAGAATGTCGTAATATCCTGGACGGTCTGGATAGGATAGCCGAAGAATGGAGCAACAAGACATTTGTTCTTAAACCAGGTGATGAAGATATTCACACAGCTAACGAACGTCGGCTCACAGAATTGATCGGTCCTGCTGCCAAGAAGCTACATACAGGTCGTAGCCGTAATGACCAGGTCGCCACAGACCTACGGATGTGGCTAAAGAAAGCCATAATTCAAAATAAGGCCCATTTGTTTGAATTTCTGGATGTAATTGTTGAACGTGCAGAGAAAGAAAGTGATGTGTTATTACCAGGTTACACACATTTGCAACGAGCACAGCCTGTCCGCTGGAGCCATTGGTTGTTAAGCTACGGTTGGAAAATCAAACGAGATATTGAACGGCTTTCTGAATTATTTGTACGGGCCGACCAGCTTCCTCTTGGAAGTGGAGCCTTAGCTGGAAATCCTTTTGCCGTCGATAGAGACTTTTTGGCTAAAGAGCTTGACTTTTCGTCTGTCTCGCCAAACAGCATGGATGCTGTCAATGATCGAGATTTTGTGCTGGAATATTTATCATGGGCCTCAATAACAGCTATCCATTTTAGTCAGCTGGCAGAAGATTTAATTCTGTACAGTTCGGAAGAATTTGACTTTGTGGAGATTTCAGATGCTTTCAGCACCGGAAGCAGCCTCATGCCGCAGAAGAAAAATCCAGACAGTCTCGAGTTGATCCGTTCCAAAACTGGGCGTATTTTTGGCCACTATGCTGCCCTGATGACCAGCATGAAGGGATTGCCTAGCACGTATAACCGAGATCTTCAAGAGGACAAAGAAGCTCTGTTTGATGTTTATGACACATTGACGCTGTCGCTTCCTATTGCTTCTGGTGTTCTTTCCTCGCTTAAAATTCACCGTACCAAAATGGAAGGCGCTCTGACTGAAGACATGCTGTCTACTGACTTGGCTTACTATCTGGTTCGCAAAGGTGTCCCGTTTCGAAAAGCCCACACCATAGTTGGGGCTTGTGTTTTAATGGCCAAAACCAAACGGGTTAGCCTGTCGAAGTTGAAACTTTCTGATCTGAAATCTCTCAGTCCATTGTTTGACCATGATGTTGAGTCCGTGTGGAACTATCAGAATAGCGTTGAGCAATATAGCAGTACTGGAGGTACGAGTTCAAAAAGCGTCCAAACTCAGATCGACCAACTAAATAAATGGATCATCATGCACAGATAGCACCTTTCCAGAGAATTTCCTAATGATTACAGTGCATAACAATTGGAGAGATTCCAAGCTTTGTTCGGACACTTGAACTCGTTTCTGTTTTTGATATTGGTACTGTAATGCGATGTTTCGGCTGATTTATTCATTTTGGTTTTCTTCAGGAGATGTAATTCACTCGGAGAGATTTTTTTTTTTTTTTTTTTATTTTATTTTTTTTAGTTTTTACAAATAATTTCTTAGCAGTACAAAACTTAAACATAACAAGAAGAAATGGAGACGTTTTGAAAATTGTCGTCAAAAATAAAATCGTGGTGTAAAATCCAATTGAGCAGACTGCGTTTTCAATCTGCCCTTAACAAAGAGGATTGACCAATTTAAAATATTAAATAATAAAACCGAGTGACCAATAAGAAAAAGTTAAAATTTGATTAAAAAAAACTTCATCTGTCCTTTCTCACATCTCACTCAAAAACGCCACTTCTCACTCAACTCCTTGTTCAATCACTCTCAGGCAAAAGATTCACTTTCTTTCAAAAAAAAATACATTCTCTCTTTCCTCAAAATATTCTCTCTCGCTCACTCATTCCTCCCCTCACACCCTCTCTCACAGTCAACTACTCTCTCCTGACTGCTTTCGCTCACTCTTTCACTCTCATTTCTTTCCTCCTCCTCACTCTTTCAAAAATGATTCGGAGAAATCTGTTTCTCTTACTCCTCCACCCCATACTCATTCTCTCAAAAAAAAAATCTTTCACTCATATCAATCTCTTGCTATTTCACTCACATACTCACTCTCTCCTCACTCTCCCTCTCTCAAAAACTCTTTCATTCCTAACTTTCTCTCTCTCTCGCTCACTCTCTCTCTCTCCAATATACTGACAATAAAATGAGAGAGTAGCAGTTTAAATTATTATGTTGTTTTTTCAACTTATTTTACACACTTTGTAGGTTATTTAAAGCTAAAACATTTTAGATTGTAAGAATAATTCTTTTTTTTTTTGTAAGTGAATATTGCATTAACAAATTTTTGAGAATTCATTCATTCATTTATTCAGTTAGTGCATTTTGCGCCGCCACTTTAAAAAAACCATTTGAAATATCTCAAAATTGTGGTTCATTCTATTAATTCAAGTCAGAATAGTAGAATGGCTTTCTGGTTCCTTTTGCACCGGGGATGTTGAGATTACCCTGTCCCTCATCTCAAAAGTTCCTCTGTTTTTTCATAAAAATTGTTGACCTCTGAGGTGCAGCCCCTATGCCCAAGCTGGTGACTGGCCAATGGCCACTTTAAGTCACCAGTTTAAATTGGAGAAAAAAAATTCTTCCCTTTCAAAAAAGTTGGGAAACCTTTTAACTACCCTTTTTTGGTTTAGCCAAAGATCGATACTATTGACCAGGGTGTGGCCATTGCAGTGCCCATGTGACTTCTTGGAGTCTTGTGTCAGAGTTGGATGTAGGCCGTGGACCAGTACAGTTCCTCATCAAAATTCACCTGAGTAAAGTATTATTTTTGCGAATAATGGATTTAAAAAAATTTTTTGACTGAATATTACATTAACAGTTTTTGTTAGGGCAACAATGATTTTCGAAATACAAATCCTACTATTTAACCCATATATCGGGAGAGGAGATAGATTCATGCCTTTCCTAAGGGTATTTGTTTGTAAGTGAATGTAATGAATCCAGCTTGGATTTGAACTCAGCACTTCGATTTTTCATCTGTAGCCACTAACCCACATATGTGTGATAGTAGCAGACCAGGTAATTGTAAGAAAGAAAGGAAATAATTCAGCTTTACACAGCGATATAAAAAGGATTTCAGAATCTTCAATGAAAAATTGAACATGCCACAATTAGAATATTGAAATGGTTGTATTCCGGTTTTTAGAACTAATTTTCAATGCGATATCGTTTAAATAAAAAATTAGTATTTATCTCATTATAACCTCAAAAAAATACTTCAAATTCAATAACTGATCAACAAAATCATTAAATAATTTATTTTAAAAAGTATGTTTAAATTTTCAATTGAAAAATTCAATTTATTCTATATTGAATATCTTGTTTTCTCTGGATATAAAAAGAAATGAATTGGAAATGATTTACTTTAAATTTAATTTTTCAAAAAATCAACAATTTGTTTCTCAAATAAATAAGAAATAGAAAAGGTCGAAAATATCCGTTGATTAAATAGGCAAAGAGATATAAACGGCCATAACATTGTGAATATGGCAATAAAATTTGAGGATAACAGTCCGAATAATGTAAATAATTGTTAATATTCTAAATGTTGTATGTTTAAACTTTCATCTTGAGGATTCTGTAAATTCTGTTTCTGGATTTTTAACCATTTCTTTGCAAGCAAAAGGAATTTCTTTATTCCATAAAATTACCTGGTATAATCAACAATTTGTTGGTACTGAACTATTTTCCACCTTACCACCCCTTTCCCACTGACTAGACTTTGTTACCTACTTTATTCTTACATTCCTTAGTTCCACCAGTTCAGACCTTCACAACTAGGATCCTCTATGCCATGTATATAGGGTCGATTCATCCTTATTTCCTTTGTATTTCATTGGTAAAGAGGAAATTCCACTCTGATAACTTCTTCCTTTGAACTGTTTCATTAATAAATGGACTCCTGGTAGGATGCTTCCCTGATTACTTCAATCTTAACATTTTCAAGTCTATGCTCTTAAAACAACCTCATTTAGTAACTGTTGTAGCATTCACATAAATACAATAGTAAATACTGTATGTTGGTCTGCAGTTGAAAATTCGTCTCCAGCTGTGCTGGTGAAACTTTCTGCCTCCAGGCAGAGAGGATCCCCAGATGAGGCTATATCGAAGGGCAGAGTCTCGTCTCAGGAAACAGGTACCTAATCCTGTTTTATACAGGGTCTAAGAGGAATTTTTGGACTAGTCTATGGGCTCGGATACCCCACATTAAATTCGGCCTTGTGCCATATCTGACTGCGTGGAGGGTTGGTAGATATCCTGGAGTTGGAGATTCATTGTGGAATTCACTTGAATCACTTCTAGCACTTGAGTAATACTTCTACATGCCGCTGGCAAATCTTATATGTGTTGTTCTTGTCCTAAGTATTATCATTCATTACCAACCTTCACTTGATTATTCTATTCAGTAACCTTCCCTAGATTATAACAGTAACCCTGTATCTTGAGTGGCTCTTGGGCCTTGTATTGGATGAACAATAGTATAAAAACATGAGTTGAAATGAATTTTAAAGACTGTTTTCTGGATGAGACATATAATAATTAGTTAGGTTTGGAGCAACAGTTGACCCCATTGAGATACCATTAGTCTGTGAGTAAATATTAACAATGTGATAAAAGAATGGAATTCTAGCAGAAGCTAGAAATTTGCATAAGATAATAATTTTGATATTTTGAAAAGGAAAACCTTGATCGAGAAGCTGGCTGATTAAAAGGATTTACATCACATCTTTTTAACGGTAATTTTCAACAGGCGTCTGTGTTTTCATGCTAGATTTATTTTATTTATTCATTTATTTTTAACAGAACAGGATTGTTAGAGAAATGGTCAGTAATATACCAAACATTTTTGGTAGAATCATTAATGGCACAAAAGTGTTCGGGTGTTTGAACAAATCTTTGAATATTAATAATTCCATGATTCTTCTCAAAGATATAAACAATCGGAAACTTGTATGCATTTATTTTTTTTATTGTTTTGTTTTTTAATCTTTTATTTCTACTTTATTTTTTCTTTCTAGTTGCCCAAATTGAAAGTATTTAATATTATATTCAGCCTTCACCAAGGAAAACATGTTCGAGCTTAACGTAAGGGAAATGCAACAAAATTTGATACTAGAGTTAGTATATAAGTTTCATAAATATTATCAAATTACCCAAGATAAAGTATCTCCATCTTTTTTGTTTTTAGCACAACATTTTTGCCGATGTGTTCTTTGGCCTTTTTAGATATCTCTTATATCCAGTATTTTTTTTTTTTGCTTTTCTACCACTTCTTTGATTTAAACATATTTCCTGAACCCAAGTATCTTAGGCTATCAGAATTATTTTCAAGTAAGACTGTACATATCTATATAAAAAAATTCTCAGTATTTACTTATAGTCTTTTAGTAAATTCATATATGCTGCTTCTTTTACTTTACATACTAAACCATATAGTTCCTTATCTGTTAAACATTACATGGTTAACAATATTTACTGTTTATACTGACATAAGATTTATAAGAGAAGTGGTTTGCTTGCACACTTGCTCTCTTTTTTGTCAATCATTGTGACATATCTATGACAAGACATAATGGAAAAGGTGAGTTCATGCCTTTCCAAAGAACATAAGTAACCTCAGCTAGAATTTGAACTTGTTTAGCCAGGTTAGTTTTCTGTGCTGGATTTCAAAAACAGCAAAAATTAGTTTAAAAAGATGCTTTTCAAGAAAAACTATATTTGGCCATTAGGGTTTTCTTTTACAAAAAATATGCTATGTGTCGAATTTTTATATAGTTGTTTTTTTTTTTTTTAGACTACCTCCAAAGATTCACCAACATTCGCATACATGATGAAAAAATTCCCCAAACTTAATAAAAATACATTTTCTATCTTAAAATCTTTTAAATTATTATATAGGAAAGACCAAAAGATTTTTTTGTTTATTTAATTATTTCTTTTTAAATTCATTTAAAAGGCAATTTTTTTAAAAAAAATGTTTTTCCTACGTCAACATGAGACCATAAATTACTATGGGAAATTTGAGTGTCATTTTACAGTGAAAAACATTGATTTGAAAATTCTTGCAAAAAGCAGATAATTGTCAGATTTTAATGAAACTTTCAGGACTTATTCACAAATGAATGAAATTATTTTAGAAAAGTTTCCTTTTTAGAAAATCTTAGTAAAAATATTTCTTTTTTACATTTGTTACCTTACACTTATTTAATTTTATGAAATTTCAAGAAATTCATTTTTGAAGCACTTAATGTTTAAATTAGTTATAAGGA